AAAATCTATAGCCGCTTCCCCCACCGATGAAAAAGTATATATTATATAACATTTTTTTCTTCTTATCATCTAAGCTTTGCAACCCAATATGTCTCAATGATGCTCGAGTAAATCCCCATTTTGCATCGTGGGCTCCCCTGCTATCATGTTCATATTATAAAAATGCACTCAACCGAGAAAAAACAACTACCAAAGAATCCAAGAAAGAGAAAATAGTTTGTTGTTACAGAAATAAAAATGCTAAATAAAATAAGTTAAAAAACATAACCAATAAGACAGAAAACATAACCAATGAAAATACTGAAATTTAGAGGGGGCCTTAAGACCTAAAGAAGATAAATAACCAATCATGAAATATTTATCTGAGAAAAAAAAATAATGTAGAAATTCATAATATTGTTAAATATGAACCTGATTTATATGTATTATTTTCCATAAATTTCTTTGTAAGAGAGTAAATAATTCATTTTCTTTACTGAACAAATACCGTTACACCACCTGCGGTTCTTCAAAGACAGTTATTTGAAGAATATTTAAGTGTTACTTAAGGAAAACCTGGAAAAGTCAGGGAATTTTAACCCTACTTATCTGATCGATAGTAGCTATAATGAGCTAGTCTTGTTTTAATTGTCATATATTTCAGAATTCATTTAGCTCTTTGAAAAAATAGTATTAGCATGAATGTAATTAATATTTCAAAAATATTTTTCTGAATGAAAGTTTATAATTTTTTTCAATTATTTTACCTCACCTGCAAATTTTTAGCTCAGATTGTTTGATGTTTTGCAGATATCCGTACTACATGACCCAACTCTACAAAAAAGAAAACAAATTGCTGACGTGGATTAGGTATAGCGCTTGGATAATACTATATCCGGTTGGATTCATTTGTGAAGGAGTGATACTATTTAGAAATTTGATATTCGTAGATCAGAGTGGAAAGTGGTCAATCTCTTTACCGAATTCCCTGAACTTCACATTCCATTATTCCACATTCCTCAGGATTTATTTGCTTTTTGTGATGATCCCCGGAATGTTCACCCTGATTAGGCATATGCACAAGATCAGACAACAGAAACTCGGAAGCAAAAACAAGAAAAGTAAATCCAAGAGATTATAGTTACCCCAATATCTGGGTTCTTAGTGGCAGTTATTATGTGTTCCATAGATAAATTTTATAGACTTATTCATTATGTTATTATTTGAAAGATTTTATATTAGAATTTGGTTTCAATCAGAAACTTGGGGAAAAATGTTCGTTTTTTGGGCTAAACTACTTAAAAAAAAATTTAATTGGTCTTGTGTATTTTTGTATCCTTATCACAAATATGTAGTCAAAATTTGGTATTATGTTTGACTTTCGGAGATAAGGCCACCAAAAAGTCGAAATTGTCAGAAAACAAATATTTAAAAACTCGTGAAAAGTCTGGGTTGAACCACGTCTGGTGTTTTTAGTAGTTCGATGTTTGTTACGGTACGATTTTGTTTTGTAATAAATTAAACATATTATTTATACTTTTAATGATCGGATAGTTTATTCATTTCCATATGCGCATTTATATATATTTACAACCTTTCTAACCCGCCTATGACACCAACTAGGTCTATAAAGAGGTTTTGTTCTTTTTTTCTCACACACAAGGACATGATGAGGACAGAAATTTTGCGGAAACGTATTTTTCGACAGTGAATTTATGAATGAAGTGATTGCCTGGTTGAATTATTTTGCTCGTTAAATACCTAGAAGGGATTTTTGAATTTTCAGCCAACTGTGGTTCGTTTTTGATATTGTGAAGTTTGGAATATTTTGAGACAGTATTGAAAACCACCGCTGCAAAGGCAAGATTTTTATAAAAGGGGCAAATAGTCAGTATTTTCACTCAATTTTCAGAGGACGATCTTCGGCTGTTTTGTGTTGGAAACACTCTCGATTATTAGTAGGTAAGTACAGTATTTTCAAACAACCTTGTTCAACTCAGCTATGGGACTCATAATGAACTTTGTTCTGGATTTAACCTTTACTAAATATTACCACTGGGAATATTAATGGATTCCTACTACGTCCGTATCACTGCCGGATCAGTATTCATCCCCTGGCAGCTTGCAAAGAAGGAACACCCGAAAAGTAGCTAAGTTTACACTAAGTTAATTGAATAAAGAAACTTACTGGTGTTTATTTATTTTCTATATTAAAATGTACAGGTTACCTCATTGAGATGAGTGGTGTAAGCTTTAACGTGACGTCACATATTAGCGAATTTTATTAACTAATCAAATAAACTTCTTCTATCTATCGGAGATCAACTCAGGATGTGTAAACCTCTGAAGAAGCTAGCCACTCACGTCTAAAGAAAAAATTCCGAAAATTGACGGCCTTCAAACCCGAAAACCTCAGGCACTTGTGGCTGAGTGCATGAATACACTTAGTTGTAGGAAACATACCTGCGATTTTATAGGTACTTGTGTCAGGTACCCGAATCAACTGCTGGCAAAGCTTGTGTCTAGTTGGAAGGAATTTTGTTTATCCGGGATACTAACTGGTCTGTTGGTGGTCATCCTGACCAAATGAAATCAATTTTAGATTTTCATAGGAAGTTGCTTGCAACGAATCTTTCGAACGGAAGGTGTATGTCTAATGGTTTTACTTACTCTCTGTACAGCATATAGCTGAGCTTATTGTTGTTTTTCCGTCGAGTATCTGCCTACAAAACCTTAGGTCTCACATGAGACGCAAGGGTTTGGTGTTCCCACCTGCACTTAGGCATATCATGCACCTCTCTGGAATAGTTGTTGATTATTCTGGCCCTAACCTGGAGTGTGTGTTTGTGGAGATGCTTCTGATGTTTGTCTGCAGGTGGCGCCGTGGCCAGCCTACCAAATTGACTGCAGGCGAAGCTTATGAATATTTTGTTTGTTCGGGTTACTCCCACGCTTCAACTTCCAAGAACAGCTCACACCAGAAACGATGGAACTGATCAGGACAAGAAGACGCCTGAAAAGACGATACCAAAAGACTCGCGCGCCTATGGACAAAAGGTGCATGCAAAGAGCCAACAGGATATTGAAAGAGGAACTAAAAGCTATCCGAGAGAGACAATGGACTACCTACCCGTCTAGAAGAAATGAACACTGAAGACCAGTCTGCATGGAGAATGCAGAAAGTACTCAGGAACGGACCTCGACAGTCATGCCCACAAATACACGGCGAGCAAAGAATTGTTTACACTGACCAGGAGAAGGCGGATGCATTCGCGGACAACTTCGAAAGGCCGTGCAGAGAGAACGACGTCCCGTTCACGGACGAGGTAGACGAAATAGAGAGACAGGTGGAAAGAACGGTACGAAGGCTAAGCCAACGAACGGACAACGCGCAACCCCTGGCCCCGACATCTCCCGAGGAAGTGAAAGGCATCCTATGACGTCTATCCACTCGGAAAGCACCAGGCTTGGACAACATAACAAACCGGGCACTGAAAGTACTACCGCGCAAGGGTATAGCAGCCATAACTAACATCATAAACGCTATACTCAGATTGCAGCACTTCCCATACCCGTTCAAAGAGGCAACGGTTATCCACATCCCGAAGCCCAAGAAGAACCACCTGTTCCCAGACAATCACAGGCCAATTAGCTTACTTCCTTCCATTAGCAAAGTGGCGGAACGTGTCATCTTGAAGAGACTCAAAGACCAAGCCAGAGAATTAGGAATACTCCCGGATGAGCAATTCGGTTTTAGATCAGAACACTCGACAGAGCTACAAGTCCTGAGGGTAGTAGATACAACACCGGAGCTATCTTCTTAGACGTCTCCAAGGCGTTCGACAGAGTTTGGCCTGACGGACTACTGGCCAAGATGAGCGATTTTGGATATTCAAAACCAATGGTAAGATCAATTCAGTCTTTTCTAGCTGACAGGCGATGCCGCTGCAGAGTAGGAGACAAACTATCAACAATTCGACTACTGGAAGCAGGGGTCCCACAAGGAGCAGTCCTTTCGCCACACCTCTTCTTCGTATACACAGCGGACGTGCCCAAGCCAGAAAACAACTTCAACAAGTTGGCGCTCTACGCGTACGTCACGGCCCTGGTGGCAAGATCTACGAGCCAAGCGCATGTCACGAGGTACTTGCATCAACAAGGGGATAGATTAGAGGAGTGGGCCAACCTGTGGAAGATCAGTATAAATCCTGACAAGAGTCAGACGATTCTGTTCACTCGCAGGTTTGTACAACCGGAAGGCAACGTCACCTTCAACGAACAAGAGATTCCGTGGACCAACAAAGCGACATACCTGGGGGTCACCTTAGACAGGAAATTAACATTTCAGTGCAGAGAATCGGAATGGCTAGACACGCCAGACAATGCCTGGCACCTACTCATAGGACGCAGAAGCAACATGGGGTTGACGGTGAAGTTGCTGATGATCAAAACCGTTCTCATGCCCATAATACTTTATGCCTGCACTGCCTGGGGCCAGAGCGTACAGACATACAGGAAGAAGATACAGTCGTTTATGAACGCGAGCGTAAGGGCCGTCGTAAACGCACCGTACTACATTCCCAATAGATTTATATACAGATACCTAGACCTGGACACTCAATATGTGGACGTGTATATGAGAGAACACGCAGAAAGCGTGTTCGATAGAATCAAATCGCACAACAACTCAGCGCTACGCGATCTACACTATGCGTTAAATATGGATGATCCCAGATTCCGAGAAAGGGATAAACACCCGAGGCCGACCAAGCAAAACCAACGACCACCCCCACGAGTCGCCGTCAGGTGACTCGGGTAAGCATATCACTAATCAGATAAACTCTCTTTCAGGTAGGTTCAACGCAGAACAATTCGACCGCAATTCATTTCTCTACGGGGGGTTACTCAGACAGTTCATTCTGTCCAAACTGATCCATCCAACATTGACGAAGAGCTACTACTCCGAAAACGATCTGTCTGTGGTCATCCCGGCCAAATGGAAAAAGTTTCAGCTTTTTATATATAGGAAATCTTCCAAACATCTTCACATTCATTTCTGGTGTAATTTCGTAACCCTGTCAACAGAACAAACGGAAAGGTTCAACAATTGTGTTTGAAACAATATCTTCACACTGACCCAATAGGTCTCATCAGTGTTGCTAGGCTAAACCTTGTATGCACTCGGCTGTTCTTCAAGATGGATAAGCCTAAGTAAAAGCAATGCCATCTTCCATTACGAAGGCGTCATCTACAGGATTGACAGAAGATTAATTCCACGAATACCAAAGATAACGAGGCTTCTAAAATTATTATAATTGTAGGCAACTACATCGGCGTGATAGACCACGACTCATAAAAGTACATCTCATGAAATTCATATCTTACTTATTCAACAAAAAATCTCACTTTTATATAAATTTCTTTATTGAAATATTTTCTGTGTTGTTTTATAAATAACGATAGTTATTTGGTAAATCTTTAAGAGGTATATTGTTGTTAACATTTCATAAATGAAGCTTTTCTTGAAAGGTTCGTAATTTCGAAATGTGATACACATTCTAGTTTCTAGTGAAGACTGCATCCGAATTTTTTGTGGCGATTAGAAATAAAAACTCCTCGGACCTATTTCTAAAAAAACCAGTGATGATATTGAACCTATGAATAGAATGTTAGTACTGATGTTTGATTTCCTCTAATCAGCAAAATTGGAGGCATGTCTTTGCTTAAAAGCTCCAGCCAAGCAAGATATAGTGGGGCGGAAACTATATTTTTTCTTGGAATTGGTAACGTCAGGACCACCAAATTAGCTTCATTGGAGTGCTCCAGCAGTAGTTCCCTTAAACGAAGGTGTCTGTTGGTTTTATCTTTCACAGCTAGTAGTTCTGCGTCCGAGATTTGTCCTGAAAAAGTTGAAGAAGTTTTATTTAGGACACTAAAGTTGATGATCTTTTTTAAATAAACTTTCAAGATTCATATCGTTCATGACCCTTTATCAACAGTGATTTCGCCGACTTAAATTCTTCACAGGGGAGTTTTCTACATATATTTTCATGTGCGAGCTCATTGAAGATTCATTCCATATATTCACCACAAGCATACCCCACCAGAACGACAAATATTATAGAGAATTCTCAGCGTAACGCTTTCGATGTACAGTCCTGCCGAACAACTGATTCAGTCGAACTTCATTGCACCAGAAGTATCTAGTAACCATAGGCGTCGCACTAACTCATCCACGATAGAATATTTACTAATTGCTCTTCCCGATCAAATACCTATAGACCAGTCTCTTTGCTATCAGTGATATCAAAAATCATGGAGAAAGCCGTAAACCACCATATCATTAAATATTGGGAATGCTTCATCTTGAGCGATCATCAATATGGCTTTCGGAAATAAATGATCAACAGACGACCTTCTATCTATGTCACCCATATTTGGAATAACGCAATCGAGAAAAACAGAGAGTCAAGGCCTTTGACCGTGTGTGGCACGAGAGTCGATGGATATCTCTCGAATACTTTTACCATCAACGCTGGTGTGCCGCAGGGATCCATAATGTCTCCATCCTTCTTTGTATTGAATATCAACGACTTATTGAAAAAAACCAAGAATCCAATATATTACTCTGCTGACGACAGCACACTTATCTCATCATTTCAATTAGATTCCATGACATCGGCTGCGAATGCACATCTTCACCGGCAGCAGGAGTTTGCATATCTTAATGAGTACCTAGAGGTGATTTCGAATTGGGGTGAAAGCAACCAGGTTCTATACAAAAACATAGGCATCGGTTTTCTCCAAAAAGATAAATGTTTCCGAACCGGATATAATAATGTCAGGACAGACAATTCCGCTTTCTGCGACGATAAGTTTGTTGGGAGTTAAAATATGTCTTGCCACAAACAAGTCGCTGGAATTGCAAAGGCTGCTTCCAAAAGATTGGAACACTATTCCGAACCCGAAAACTCAACACACCTCAGCAACTTTTGATGCTTTATAAAGCTCAGATCAGACCTTCTTTGGAGTATTGTTCTAATGTATGAAGCTCTGCCCCTAAGCATACCTTGAAGCTGCTGGATTCCACCCAGAAAAGAGCCGTCCGCCTGATTAGAGACTCGATCATCACTTGCAACCTTGATAGTCTGGAACACCTCCCCTCTTAGTGAATCAGAAATTCAAGTGAAAGATCTGATCTTTAATTCTTTTGGTATTTTCCTAACTTTGGCATCGCTGAAGAACGGAAAGCTACAGATCTGCTTTGGGTGAATCACCTTAAGAAGAAAATGACTTTCATTTTTCAACTGATGCTACTGAATAATAATGGCACACATACCTCTTTAAACCATTTTTGGTTTATTCAGTATTGTTACAATAATTTGAGTGTCGAATTTAAAAGAATTCATCAAGAGTTAAAAAAATGTAAGATTGCAAAATGGCAGGATTTTAGAATCTTTTGAAGTATCTTCGTATTTCCTCATATCTAAAACATTCGAATATCTGAAGGATCAATAAATGAACCATGTGGTGAAGTAATCGAAGAGGACATCCCTCTCACACAAATTTGCATGGAACATAATTGCTTCCAGTTTGTTAACTGCTTTTACAAGTAGCGTGAGAGGCCACCAATAGGCACAATTTGATATATCTTTTCTATAAATAATTCATGAGAAGATTTGAAATGGGAGCAGGAGAAAATTTAGATTACTTTCCACGAACTTAGATTTGATACGTATCCATGCCATTTTTGGCTCGAACAGGAGTAAGGTAGATTATTCTGTGTCTTGTCTGAACCAGATCAAGTATGAATTTGGGAATAATGAAGAGTTACCATTCCTTGATGTTCTAGTTATAAGAAACGCCGATAATAGTTTATAATTTGATGTACATAGGAAGAATATTAGCACTTTCAGAGGCTCCCACCATTGTCTACAAAAAATGGCGGGACTACAATTTCTTGTCCATAGACTGCTCACATTTTCCTTGAGCAACAAAAGGAGACATCGAAAAAAAGTCTATCAAGGAGATACCAGAAAGTGATGGGTATCATTCAAACATAGTAGATAAGTTAATTAGGAAGAGAAAATTTAGAGAATGTCTTCGTAAATCCTCGACTTTTTAGAAAGACGAAGACTCAAAATTTATAGTTCTTTCATACGAACCAAAGTACACTGACAGATTGGTTCAAATTTTTGAAATCGAATATGAAAGTGGTTTTCAAAATGTACACTTCAACAAGTGTTGTGCAACCGAAAGTCAAGACAATGAAAGAGTAATAAAAGTCTGGGATAAACGAAGTAAGCTGTGAGGATTGTGATAAAAACGCATGTTGGCGAAACTAAACGGACTATTAAAGCTCGCTACAAGGAACATAAATCACATGTTCGGTTTTATAGAACAGAGAAGTCTAGTGTTACTTAACATGCCATAGAGAACGGTCATAGAATAAGTGAGGAAGACTCGAAATTGTTGAGACCGGTACATGACAAGTTCTTAGATGCCTTCGAAAGATTAGAAATCAAAAAATATGGAATAAGATCTATGAACGGCGACAACGGTTCTATTCCTAACAGCCCTCTATTAACACTCCTACGAAAATTTTGGTATGAAACTGATAACTATTAGGTATCGATCAGGTAGTAAATAACATTAGGAAAAATAACAAAAAACTAGATGCAAACATTAACATATGATGCTAACTTGGTTAGCGAAACGCGCATCAAGAGACAGTATTTTTGTTCTGGTGTTGAAAAAACGTTTTCAATAGATTGTAACAGTACATAGTTATAAAAAAATCTGCATGAATTCGAAAGCTCAGCTTTTAGTTTTTGATCTATATCTTCATTAAAAAAATATGGGTTGAAATAGGTTTCCGAAGACGGAAACCTTAAGGGATTTGTGCTAGCGTGAAGGATTAACAAGGTATCACCTTTCTATATGTTGTTTCTAACAAGAATCGGATGATGCTCACTGAACACTTTTACACTACGCATTTTCATTCAATGAGACAACAACGACCATCTATTAGTCATACTATCAAATATTTGGATTACTAATGGATATTATATAAAACTAGTGGTATGCTGCTAAGGTGTTTAATATGACTATCGTAAAAAAATTTTTTTTTTTTGAATCAGACGATTTACTAAAGAAGTAATTAATAGATTGAAATTAATTACCTTTTTCGGTACTCGTTTCTGAGTAACTCCTAAAATCAGCAATGAGTAAATCAAAGAAAGCTTGGGTACTATCCATAGGCTTCGTGGTAATGTCTGGAACAACCTTCAAATTTGTATATTCTATTCGAAACTTCGCTAGTAGACTCGCCATGTTTCGGTGTTCCAGTTCAAGTTCATCTCTTTTATTGGCCAGAGCGAAAACGCGGAGCTTGCATTTATTCCAGTTGCTTCTTGTGCTTATTATGTAGGGAAGAAGCAAGGTTAGACCTGAAAATTAACCTAATTTTACTGTAAACTTCCGACAGATTGTTTTACAAAAACGATTCAGCAGTTGTTGAGCAAGGTCGAATATGTTTTGTTATGAATACCTCCTGATGACCAATTCAAGAAAAGAGAACTGAGAAACAAAATGTGCGAACAAATGTATCATGTTCAATTTTTTATCAATTAAACTTTTCCATAACCTTTTTCCAGAGGCTATTGCGCTGCAAAATTAGAGTGGTGTCAAGAATATCAAAACTGGGAAGCAAATGATAGGGTTACAGTTTCATTTACCGAAGAAAATAGATTTGGATTTCATCCAGATTCTTGTCGAATAAGAGTGTGAAATATTGACGTTGAAACATCTTTCAATTCATCTATTTGCCTGAATGGATTTGAATTATTTTATGAATATTTTCATATTTGACACTATCGTTCATCCGTATGCTGGTACTGTGAATTACCCTTCAATCTGAAATTTCATGGTGATGGAAGAACTGAAAACTATGACATATCAATACTATGAAAAACACTATGATGCGATGACTGACAAGAACTGATGAAAAAACTTCACACAAATGACAACCATATACGCAAGAATATATCACTACCGGCACTAATTGTCAACTGAGAATAAAGAAAACATCCAGAAAAGACAGTTGAATAAAATGATACATTGCACGACAAAATCTAGTGATCTGCGTTTGATCTCCTACAGTAATTATTACTGTTGAATGATTCTTGTTTTAAACTTACCTCCATCATCATATAGCCACCATACATCGATTGTTCCACTCCGTCTTGGCTTCTTTTGAAAGTAAAATACTTCTGAAGGCATGATTTCTTTTGTTTCTAGATCATCACATCCTGTTGCCAAAGATTCGGCAAGAGATTTGGATTTTTTCAATGATTCTTCTGGATTCGGTAATTCACTCACTGCATCTCTGTCTATCTCACAACGTCCACTATTGCTACTACCTAAAATAAAAGAATAATCACCAACGGCTGCCAACGAGAATTTTTTTAATACGGAACCTGTATATTTTTTTATACATTTTGGTAGTCATTGTGATTACAAACTCATTGATATATTACAACATTTTTATTAAGAGCTCGAATTTCCGAATGTTACTGAAATTCAGAGTTCTCCCCTCGATGATATCGTTCATTGAGATTGTAAATATTTATATTCATTCAAATCCAAATAGATTTTCTGTCAGGGTTGTCTTGAAAAAGAGAGACCAATAATCTTTGTATCAATACCAAGTCATTCTTAATTTCCAAATGGCTCTTGAAAATTTGTAGCTACCCAAATATTTCTGTTCAGAAAATGAGTACATCAGCATGAATTAACTAATAAAAATACTGCATGAAAAAGTTATAGATATTCAGGAGAAATATGATAATTCTTTTTTTTTTAAGTAAGCGATGAAATACTTGAATGTGAATGTCAAGTTAATTGTCAAACACAAAATAAAACAGTTATTCAATTTGGTGAGCGATTTTAAGAAAAAAACATGAATTTTTCCAATGAAGAAAAAGTGGAACTGCTTTTTGTTCATTCGAGATGTTTGAGAAATGCTACCAAATCTCTGACAATGTATCAGGAATTGTATACTGAACGACGACAACCTAATCGTAGATATTTTCAACGTATCGAAAATAGTTTGAGAATTTATGGATCCTTTGAAAAACCCTCCAAAACAAAATGTACGCTCACTGAATGTGGTGGCGATAATGAAATCGGCGTTTTAGGTGAGTTCAAAAAAGTTTCACAATAATGATGAACTGGACATTCATTTGATTAAGAATTTGTGGAAAGTAAAAAAATTGAGAACAAGAAGGTATCCCTGATAGAGATTGCTCATAATTCGGCCATATCCACTTTGCCTGTACGGAAAATTTTAAAGAAAAATAAATTCCAGTCTTATCGGTTCAGGAAAGTCAATCTTTTACGTGTAATGGACTTCAACAGGAGAAAAGTTTTTTGTAGATGGCTCATTAGAAAATTTCGCCAAGATAATGTAATTTTGTAAAAACAATTGTGGTGTGATGAAAGTACATTTACCAATAACGGATGGTTCATACATACATTATCATTGGCGACAAGAAAATTAATATTTCCATAGAATTACCAATTTTCAAGAGATATATGGTGTTAACGTAAGGCTTGGTGTTCTTGATAACAAAATTATTGGCCCTCACTTTTTTTTAAGTTTGACCGAAGAATTATACTTGGACTTCTTATCAGGGACTCTACTTGAGTTTCTAAAGATTTGTCACTCAGCCTAATAAGAAAATATGAGAGAATGTGCAGAGATTTCTTCAATACAACTATGCCAAGAAGATGGATTGGAAATAATGGTCTTATTGATTGGCTACTACGTTTACCGGACCTTTCTCTTCTAGATTTTTTTGTGGGGCTTCATGAAAGATAAAGTATTCAGAACAAAATTTTAAAAATTGAGGAATTGAAATCAGGATAGCCTGCATGGCTATCACTCCAGTGATGTTAGAGAACTGCCACAAGCACACTATTTCTAGAGAAAGTATTCGTTAAAGAAATGATGGAAGACAATTTGAATATTTAATGCGATATTGCGTGAGACGGTAAGTTAAAAAAAATGTAACGTGAGGCATTCCGTTATGATGTTCATTTTCTACGATTTCTTAAATATTTCGTAAAATTCTCTTTCGCAACTGTTTCTTTTTTAATGTGATGCAAAGACATTTAGAAATTTGATTTCTCATTGAAAAAAAGTTGAATGATGGTATTTTGACGAAGTTGTTTTTTGGAAGAATAGTCGAGAAATACATATGTTCTAAAATGTCAATTAGAGATTTGAGGGATTTCAATGAACAAAATGTCTCTTTGAAAAATGGGCTGCATCAGATTATGAAAAACATGAAATGAAGCAAAAAAAATCCTTTGTCATTTTTTGGTATTATTGAAAATGGAGGAGGTAGAGCAAAAAAAATAAAATGTGGCATTTTCAGTGTTTTGCAAATATCTCAGAAACGGTCGGTTATTTTATCCATTGGATAATGCCATTATGTTGCATTCCTAAAAAGGCAACTGTTATTCCATTTAACCGTCCTTGTAGGATATGTCGTTTTCGAGATAGCAATAGTGGTATCAGCTAAAAAAACGGCCTCTACATTACAAACCTTGTGACATTTGGCTGTATGACCTATTCCTTGTCATGTATTTCGGGCTATTCTTGAAATTACTCGTTTCCTCTTCTATAACTACACTGCAGTCGAAACCTTTCTGTATTCTGATGATGCCCGCAGCCATGTGCAAATCAAATGCTGTGCTGAAATATTTGTAATAAAATGAAATCGAAGTTCAATTTAATTTCGTTCACTCACTGTAACACTTCGAAGTACTGATTGAGATTATCCCTCGTGCAAGTCTGCCAATCTGCTTTGTATCCCATGAGAAGTATGTTAGGTTTGAGTTTACCGATTCCGCAAGCTTTCAGAAGTGATTTGCAGCCTTCTGCGAAGCTCAATCCATCAACCTGAGCGTAAAAAGCCTTCAGTTTATGGGCCTTCAACCAGCTGTTGGCTTTATAGTTTAGAACGTTTCTCTCTCTCTGAGGAAGGTGACTCTGGAAATATAGTTGATTTTGGGCTCATGTTGGAGAAGTAACAAACCTTTTCAAACCTCACCCCACACATAAACCGACCGAAATAAAAAAAGAGTAACTATCAGGATATAGGTACCAAGGAAAATTCATAAAATCAGAGTGAAAGAACAAATATCTGCCAAAGAACTCTTCCCGTCTGTAAATGACATCGAATGAAATCACTATTATATTCGCATCATAATTATATAGGGTGATATAAAAATTTAACAAACATGATTTTACTTTATTCGTTCACAATATATCGAAATTTGAGAACTGCCAAAAGTTGATGTCTGTTATACAGATATAGGTAGGTAGGTCTAAAGTGAGTGGGTCTATTCGACCCTCAACCGCAACCCACAAGGGTTTATTGTGGCCCACACCTATTCACACTCGGCCAAATAAACCCAGCTTCTCAACGAAGCCGATTAGTTTGTATGGTGAGTGGACTTTCAGGTCAGATGGTAAGAGTACGGCTCTGCCGAACTCTATAAACCTGATTCGGTCCCCAGCGGGGTAGGCACAAAGCATGTGATCTGCTATTTCCTCATTTTCTAAACAAAGGCAATACACACTGTCTTCCGACAGTCCAAGTATCTGCATATGATGATTCAAATGACAGTGTCCTGTAAGAAGGCCTGTTAGACATCGTAGTTCATCCCTACTGTAGTCCAACAACTGTTTGGAATCAAACTTCGAAAGGTGAATAAACGCCTTGGAGTGAGCCAATCCTGAAAGATTCTGCCAGAAGTCCAACATCTGCTCCTAATATTTCCTTCTCCCGGAGGATCCAGTCCTCTCTACTCGGAAATAGTATTTTATAAGGCAGTTGACAGTTGGAGGCATAAAGTAAGAGGTCATTTCCAGAATGCTGTGACTTCCAATGTCAACCAACAGTCTGTTGCACTCTGCATTGAATTGATTTGTGCAATTAGCAATGTGTACAAGTCTGTATGCAGTTCATCTAGCCTCTCTTTCCAGAAAAATTTGGAGAGGAGGTAGATCTAGAAGAATCTCCATGGCCGCTGACGGTGTGGTACTGATGGCACCACTGGTAGTTAGCCAAGCTTCGCTTGGGCCGTTTTCTGTAACACCTTCGGCCACCAAGCAATTGCACCGTAAGTGATCATTGGTCTGACAATCATCATACAAATCCAATGGATTTGTTTGGGACCTAAACCCCAAGTTTTACCATAAATCCTTCGACATGTCCATAGAGACAGTCTGGCTTTGTGTAAAACTTTTTCCAAGTGAGCGTTCCAGGTGAGTCTTTTATCAAGGATAATGCCAAGATATTTTACCTCCGTTCCAAATGGAATGACCACACCATTGAGGAAAAGTGGCGTTAGATCGTCTAATTTTCTTCTCTTTTGGTGAAAGGGAGCAACAGAGTTTTGCCAGGGTTGACAGACATCTGCTCCCTCAGGCACCAACTGTGAACAACGTCCAACGCGCTTTGGAGGATAGTACACGCTACCCTTCCTGACGTGGACCTTGCCAGGATGACAAGGTCATCTGCATAAACTTGCAGATCAACTTTTCTTCTGATGAGGGCATCAAGCAGACTATCCACCAGGAGCGACCACAGAGGGGGAGATGGTACTCCACCTTGAGGGCAGCCCCTGGTGACCCTGAACTTGATAACCTCGCCTTGAAGAGTCGTAGTTGCAGTTCTGTTTACTAGCATAGCATAGATCCAGCCAGTTATGGTCGATTCTATACCCTTCCTAGCCAGAGACAATCCTATAGATTCAGGTAGTGCATTGTCAAATGCTCCTTCAATATCAAGAAATACAGCCACCGCAATCTCCTTGTTGTCAAGGGATTAGGAGATTTTCTCAACGAGGTTGTTTAATGCTGAAGCTGTCGATTTGCCGGTTGGATAAGCATACTGGTGGTTATTCAGGGGGGATGCATATAATGCTACGCTCCTGATATGTCCGTCCAGTATCCTCTCAAGTGCTTCCAGCAGGAAAGATGTAAGGCTGATTGGTCGTACCGATTTGGGGTGTGGGTCTCTCCGGCCCACTTTAGGTATATATACCACCCTTGCTGCCAACCAACTGGGTGGTATATAGTTCCACGCCAGACTAGCAAATTATTTCCAGTCCGTTTTGAAGAAGAGCTGGAAATATACCATCCTCTCCGGGAAATTTGAAGGGCTGAAAAGACTTGATAACCCATTCAACTGCCGGTGCTGTGATAACTTTTTTTTGCGACGTCCTAGTCGTTTTTTTTTTGGGAGTTTAGCGCCCTCGATGATGGGCGGTGTGTTGTTATGCAGATGTAGAAAAGATAAACGTTTCAGTTCACTATGAAAGATGGAGTGGCCTCCTCGGTTACTATATTTTAGTCCTTTATAGGAAAAATCATTAAAGAATGGTGGGAAGTGACTACGCAATAAAATATATGACAACGGCTCGAATAAAATAACCTGTATTATTGTATGTACGCAACGGACAAATATATGAATGCCTTTTCCAAGGAATAGGTTATAAAACGATGTTTTTGCACCAAGTAGAAGCTTTATGGGTAACATTGACTCTGAGAGAAATATTCACGAAATTTGTTGTCACCTCGGCTATTATAAGAATGGATTTCGCTGTTAAGCCTTTGTATACAAAGAGATACATTTCAAATAAAGTCCTCTACAAGTTATATGTACTCTTGAAATATTTTGATAGACATGGCTACTTTTGCCCCATATAGAATATCTGCAAAAATAGTGATGATGTTCATTGATTATTATGTTTTCGAAATATCGGTAATTTTCAACGATTTAATAAAAACCCCAAGGTCTCCAGAAATTGTCGACATCTTGAACCGTTCTTAAGAAAAGCTGAGGTCCCGAGAAAGTTAAAAGTGTTTTGGGTGTTTGGCGATTTTTGCTATCGAAGCTAAGAGTGCTAAGATCGAAAAAAGCACGCCAAGTTCAATCAAGTGTCAAGGTTTTGCTCACTGTTTTCTTCTATTACCGTTGCGTAGTGCATCAGGAGTTCTTGGCTAATGGTCGTAGGGTCAGTAAGGAGTATCAACTTGCTTGCAAGAAGCAATACGAAGAAAACGTCCGGTATTGTGGAAAAACAAATCATGACTTTTTTATCACCGTATTTACCAGATTCCTGTGACTTCTTCCTGTTCACTCGTCATTGCTTGTTCGTAAGTTTTTGGTGGAAACAACACCGTAATCATGCCTCAGCAACCGTATTCACTAGATTTGGCTCCCTGCGATTTTTTTCTGTTCCCAAGATTGAAGAGGTCCATGGAAGGATGGCGTTTTGCGACGATTAAGGAGATAAAAACCGAATCGCTGAGAAGCTCAAGGACATATCAAAAAGTACATATCAGAACTGCTTCGAGGATTGTAAAAAACGCTGGCACTAGTATATTATATCTTACGAGGATTACTTTGAAGGGGATTACTTTGAACAGACAGTAAAAAGCCAAAACAAAATATACTTACTGTATTTATATGTCCACAAACCAACATCGACAAATTTTTTGTTAGCAGATGAGCAAAATCTACCAATGCTGGTCTAGCACTAGGCATTCCAGATAACACTAATATCTGCGGTCTATAATTTTTCACGTGTTCTTCAATTGCGTTCAGTTGGTGAGCAGCCTGCAAGGCATTCTTGTAAATTTGTGCTTGAGTGGTAGATCCCCAATTTACATCTGAAAAACCGTATATATTTTACTCCATAATTATAAGACGTTAACTTCAATCGTGAACAGAATGATTCCTTATAGAAATCAGCAGGTTTCTTCAACAATTACTGCTGAATACTGTGGGTTCTGGATATCACGAATGTAAAAGACAAATGTCATCATACGTATGGCAGTTGATCCTACCAAGAGAACAAGTGTAGAGTATGCTTAAGCACCTACATTCGAATAAGCAGAAGACACCCTGGAATCAAAAGGGTGTCCTATTGATAAATCAATTTTCAGATGTATCAAGATGTCTTACTACATCTCTGATCTAGAACTTGATCATGAACACCACTAATGACAATTATCTTCTCGAATGGAAGCGAAGATAAATGTTAGAAAAGTCAGATGTGGCAAATTCCGGAGAAGAAATAGTTCATTTCAAGCTAAACAATAAGTACTGCTTGTCAAATCTAGGAAGAGAAAATTATCTCTCTCTCGCTCTCGTAGTCTTCTAATGAATGCACATCTAATGGGCGGGATCATAACGGAATTCAGAAAGCTCTTCCTACATTTGGCAAGTTGTATATGGTAGTTCATTACTCAACTTGGTATCCTAGTCTTCCTCAGAGGACCTGAACCAATTCGATCTCTATGCCAGAAAATTGGTTTGTTATAATGAAAATAACTTAAAAAACTGAGTTATTTATCAGAGACCAACTAACTTGGAGAGTGGTGTTAGGAAAAGGTAAGTGCTACCTTGACCTGAAAAAGTAAGTAGGTACTTAGAAAAATCAAGCAGTAACTATGTATACATCTAACCTATTCTTTATGAGTTGACTGATTAATGTGAAGTCGGAATTTGTCAGTTTAAAGGTTCAATACAGTTGATGTCGTTGAACCATAGTTTTGAAATTAGTGCGACAGGACTCATTTCTGTATAAAATACTCGTTAACCAGCCATATAAATTTTTCAGAGTGCTCTCTCTAGAGTGCTGTTTTTCTCTTGATAAAGGTGATTATTCCAATTTTTGTCTTACCTGGCTTTCTATATGAAACTATGAGATAAAGAGCTAATTCTACTGCGAGTGTTAATAAAGCGGTCAACCAAGAAATCAAGAACATCACCAAAACGCATAATATGGATCCAAGCAGACTCAACCACATATTGTAGTACTGAAAAATAAATTAATGAACTCACATTTGTGTCTTTAGTTTCAAAATAATTTACCTTAAAAGTCGGCCTCCAGCCTACTGGTTTTGCTAAAGAAGCATGGAACGTTGAAAAGTTGATCAACGTATATGCTGCTAGGAAGAAGTTGGAAATTAACGGCGCGATCAGATTCAGTTCACCTGTGAATAAAGCAAAAGTTTGAAAGTGTAATAAAAACTAAATAAATATGATGAAATGAATGAAGAAAGCAACATTAACTATTAGTGATCACTAACTAAAAATCCATGTCATGTGCTATGTGAAGGTTTAACTACCCCACCAGGTGTTTGTACAACTTCAATAGTACAATTATTTTCATTTTTGAGCTTTTTTGGGCTCTTGGCCTAAGGAAGATACATTGTTGGTTGAAGTGGTCACACTATAAGCACCCCGATTTTAAAGAGCAACTTCATTTTTTGGCCTCTTCATTATTCTGCTGATTTTGTCGTTGACATCTACAATGAAAGTTGAAAATGTTTGATTTCGCGTTGTTAATGGAAGGTCTTTTAACTATTTCCTATTGGTTCCTATTGGTTGAATTAGATAATCCAATTCGGGAGCAATTGAGTGTAGGTAGCTATATTTGATCAATGTTGATTCCCTGTTCCTTTTGGTGAAAATTATTTCTGTGCTTTTGAATTTCTATCGCCTCCATATATAATAACTTTTTCCCAAAGTACACCGGAAACGATTTGCATATGTATATGCTCTAGGTAATAATTACCTACAGCATATTCTCTTTACTCTAGGTGATTATGATTGAGTATATGTACCTGAGAAGGTAATTTTCACTGGTGATTAGAGAGAAGAATTAGTTTTTAGTATTTACTACGAAAAAGCTACTGTGACAGCGAAACATGTGATATTTTTGAAAATAAACTTTTTGAAGATCAAGATGTTGTTTAGGAAATTACTATAGATTTCATCAAGTAACGTCCGAGTCAATAAGAAAAATATAGTCATTTTTTGAGAATTTTGTACACACTATTATAGAAATATGTATTTACATTTGAGTAACATTAGTAGGTGGTAAAGTATATGATGAATTACCGAAGACAATTGGAGTGACTTAATTTTGTCTGCTCGTTATTTTTATGAAAGAAAACATAGTTTTATCGACCGTTTTTGGGTATTCACACCTTCCACAATCTAAAAAAATGATAGTGGAGAACTTTATACAAGTGTAGGGAGGGCAGATTAACTTCACGTCGATAAGTTACTGTCACAATGAAAAATATTATGATTATCAGTAATTTGCCCATTCAACACCTATATAAAGTTCTACATTACAATTTTTTTTTTCGATTGGCTGAGTTACTTACCTAAAAATGGCCGATAGAAACATAAATAAAATTTTTATTCAGACTGACCATATGCATATCATAAACGAGTATAGATTTTCAAGGCCAATAATTCCTTACGAAAAAACAAACTCTTCTGATGCAGATATTACGAAATTCGTCTGAAGTCTCGATATTACTGATCCACTCACCAATCAGAATGAAGACTGTAGCAATAACGAAGGTAAGAACATAACCTCTCAAAGGTTCGTTGTTGTTTCCATATCCCTTCGCAAACCATTCGATCTTCGGGTAGAGCTTGTCTTTGCAAAGGGCTTGGAAAACTTTAGGAGCAGATACTAATGATGCTAAAGCTGAAGATAATGCTGCAGCGAAGCAACCTGCGTAGATTATTGGTCCTATCCAAGACACCAGTTCAACGACCTTGAACAAATCGTATTAAAAAAATCCCTGTCATGGAATCGAAAAAAATACTAAATATGCCAAATGCCAATATGACTAGAGTCATTGTTGGCTATTTTTATATTTTCACTCCCCTAAAACAAAAAAGGTTTCAAAATAAATTAAACATTGGAAGAAAATTACTGAATTCATTTATATCACTCACTAATTGATTAATTACTGCGTTTGAACAAATCAGGTATTTTTGAAATTGTCAGTAACACTTATCATGAATGCTGCCTGTATATTGAACAAAAAATCAGGAATGTTAAATGAAAATATACTCTTTTCGGGTAGCTTGTTAGAAACCACTGTCGATGACAAAGACCTGCGTGGTTTTTTCCCCATTCATGACACCCATTTAAACAATTTCATTGCTTGTATGAGGTTCCACAGGTGTTTTGTTGGATGTTCATAATATTCTTCTAGACTTGATGATATTTATTATTTATTAATCACACGAAATAAGAATGTTCATGGCTGTCAGCTAGGATCTACGCTATACCGCTCTATTTTGGCCAGTTCCTTTATAAAAAATTTGCTCGTGTATGTTCCTCATCGACCTTTGATTTGGTGATAACTGAGTACGAGTATAGTAGCACGTATTATAAAGTCAATTCACTCTTAGATCTACCGGTGCCATGAGTGTGGCCTGGCTGGGTGTCTTTAAGAATATTGATGCACTCATTCGTTGCGGTTTAAAATTAATAATCCTTCGACATTGAATGACTGCATTCACTTCCACCTGGAGCGTCTCCAATGCAGCTATTGGTATGATTCTCGTTGCTCCCGCTTTTACTGAACAAGTACGTCTTTACATCTGGCTAAGTATGTTAATACCGGTCGCTCGTTTCATCGTTGGTTATCAAACTATTACCAAATATTTAACAACCAATGTGAATAAGAAATACGTTCATGTCTACTTTCAACCACTATGTCTTTCCGTAGGTGCATCTTACTAACACCAGTTTAACACATAGTCCGCAAATCCTTCGTTCTCAAGATACAGGGTGTTAAAATAAAAATGAAAAAAAGTTATTCCTAAATATCTTAAATATCCTTTACCTAATTCTGTTGTAATTCGTCAATGGTATTTATAACATTGAGGAGCTAATTTAGCCCGAACGTGATTTAATTTATCAAGTCCAGTGGCGTCTCGAGCGGGATTTGAACGAATATTTTTGACTTAAAAATGTACGCCACTGACTTTCGTGCAATTTTCATTATTTTCTTTGATTAAGCAATTAGAAATGCAACTTTTTTGTCTCTTGAATTTTTTTCGTATCTTGCTTAGTTTTTAAGAAAAAAAAGTCGACCTAATTGCATATCCCTGGACCTCACAAGGAATAATATGTGGAATTAAATGTTTATTTTGGAAATTACTATTTTTACCATTTTTCATTACTAATTATGTAACAATAACAACAAATATTAAATAACATTAACATCTAGACTAACGAATTGCACTAAATTGAGTGTTGGAAATGGCCTCCTTCGGTTTCAATACAACCATGTAGCCACCGCGTCATTGAATTTCGCACTCTCTTCTTCTGATCTCCGTGTTTCAATATTCAAATGCATCCGAATCTCATTCACTAGTATCTCGTTTTCCAATTTTTCACAATCGCTATTGGAATCACTACACAGGTGAAAGTCAGCGTTGTTATCACACTCGTTATTACTATTAGTACTTGTCCAAGGACGCCACATTTTAAACAGATGACAGAAATTTTAAGTAATTATAACTGCACCAATATCGAATTTTAGTACTCAAATCGCGGTCAGTTCTGAACTGAATATTGACAACATGAGGTATATAAATATCCTCGCATTCAATTCGTCACCATAAATTTAATTTTATAACTCTTCAGACAATCATAAAACTCGATTAGTAAGAAGTATCCAATACAAACCACCAATTCTTCAGTTCATGCGGACTAGATAACAGCGGAATAATTTTTTGCATTGGTTTTTTTTTGGCCTTTGAGCTCGCCGATACCTTCAGCTATTCACAGTACCGGTTACTTCGACTATATCCATCTCTCTGAACACAAGAGGAATTGTCGCTTCGGGCAAACCGACAAATCAGTTGTTGTTCTCAAAAAAGAAGACACTCACATAATCTCATTCAGACATACAGTCATACTAGTTAAAACTCAAAATTCCTATCCATAAATATAAAGAGACGCAATAGAGATTCAAAAACACAGAAATAACATTAATTGAAGAGGAAAGGCAATGCACATCATTTAAATCTGGCTACCTGTCCTTAATGGTACACAAACAAGGTTTGGTAATCTAATTGAGAAAAACCGAGCAACGCCCACCAATAATAATATAATACCGTAGTTTCTCCATTGGGAGCAACGGGAACAACATCTCGAGCACTTGACCGTTACCTCATGGCTTGTTTTAATGTCTACTGCCGTAGTTGATGAGACGTCAGGCAGAAACACTGTAGAGTAAGAACAAAAAACCGAGAAAATAGCGTTGAAACATTTCGATACCAGTTACATCGCATTCCAAACATCAAGAAAAACTGTATATTTATCTCAACAAATTACTTTGTTTCCATCGAATAGAGAATCTCTAGTGTATCTGCAGCTGTGAGCCCAACGAGTCGCTTTTACCGAATTATGTTGCAGTATTATATATCGAAACCACTAACACATCTAGTGAATATGTCATTAGGGCAGGGATATTTTCCCTCAGCTCTCAAAATGCCTGTTATAAAGCATATACAGTGTGTAACAACGGAAACTTAACAAAACCGTTTTTGAATATAAAAAGTTAGATTTTTAAAAAAGCTCGGACACGTCATTTCTAATTAAAGGGGGACACCTTTCAGAATAATCAGATTTTTTGTAGTACGCACCTCCTCGGATGGGTGCGTCCGACGACCCTCATTTGAATAGGGAAAGTAGGTCGAGTGGCATCTTGTTTTAAAGGTCTTTCGAATACCTTCATATCTCTGTTGAAAGAAAATTTTTGTAACGATTAGTTTTCGAGATAATTTGAAGTTAAAATTGCCATGTGGATAATACATTAGACATACCACTCGGTAACTAGTATGCCTAAATGAAAAAAAATTCGAGCAGTTCTTCTTATCAGTTTTTTGTTTAATGAAATCCTTTTTTTAAATCAATACCCACTCCTCTTCTTCCAGTTTTCATTAGTACATCGTTCGATTGTTTTGTTTAAACGGGTCGTGTATTGTTATTTGTTTGAAAATGCCTTACACTACTGCTGAAAGAGTTACAGTTATTGCTTTATTTTTTGGCAACGACCAAAATTCTGAAAGAACATCAATTTTATTCAACATGTTTATATGAACATTTCGTCTTAAAATTACCTAAAGAATCGTCTGTTTAATTTATGGTACATACTTAATCAACACCCTGTATTATAGATCTGAAACTATAAAGTAGTAAAATAGTTAGCACTGGTGTTAGTAAGATGCACCTAAATTTGGGATTTTTATAGTGAAACAGCTTCAAGTCTTCAATTATTTGTTGTTTTTGGTCCATTGTGAGTTCGCGCGGTACCCACTTTGAACAGAGCTTTCGCATACCCAAATATTCATGCACGATATGTCCAACAGGTTACTTTGATTCCTCTTCATCCATTTTCATCAAACTAACAAAAAGTTGCTTCACTCATAATGTTCTATCCCGTAAACTAATAATCTGACAGCTGTGAAATTTGTACACGTGTCCTTTGAAGGTTAGGGTTCACTTAAAATCATATGGTTTCAATACTTATAGTGCCATCTCTGTGTTAGCCTAAGAAATTTTCAGTTTATGATAGTCTAGAGATACTGTTATTGGAAAATTTCTTCATCAAGTTTAAGCACATATTAGAGATGAGTTCCTTGATGGAACACGAATGAATGTCAATTCGATTGCTAATTTTATTGAATTCACTACACATTATATAAAGTGGAGATTTCAATTGCATATTTGTTCTTATTCTTGGAAGTTTGAAAGTTGCATGATTTCGAGAAAAATATGAAGGAACATTGATTATTGTTCAGTGTAGTCAACTATTGGTAAACCCACGGGGACAAACGTAACAACAGGATAAAGAAAATAACTTTGGTCTAATTTTTACAAAGTTTATCATTTGTTACGACTGGTTTGAGTTTGTTAGACCAATCTCAAGTGACTAACAAGTAAATCAGTAACAAAAACCCAGTAGAAATCAGACAAACGTTTTTTTCTTCATCCTATATTAATTCTTCATACCGATCTATTGAATTTTTCTCACCTGGAAGTTGTTATGGAGACCGAAATGGCAAACGTTAGGTGGGCAATATGGCCAGCTGGCGTTAATGTAGTCTCTCACGTCCCCAGTAGCGTCTCTTGACACTGTAGATCCTAGAACTATCGCCATTAGTATGTACGAAAGGGTAGTTATAAGAATCGACAGAAGTGTCCCTTTTGGTATAGATAATTGTGGATCCTAGAAAAAATGTTATTAGTCATTTTGTATCATGTTATATGTATTTCGAAAATTAGAGAGAACTGGACACTGAATTATCATTCGTGAAGAGTAGGAATTTATTGATCAAATTGAAAGGAAGTGTATTTCCAGTAGGAATTAGTTTTTGGAAAAGAAATATACCCCCTTCCAAGAATGCTATGGCTGGGAATGAATAAGATAGGCGTTAGATTGTCAAGTGTTTTCATTGCCCAAAAACAAAGTATCCGTATTTCAGCTGGCATATTGAAAAGGTTATCTTGCAGTTATCACTTTAGGAATCAAAGGATTTTAACGTTACCGTCATTGTTACCATAGATGGATTGTTCCGAAACTGGTTCTCTTGCTCAGTTTATTTGTTTGTTTGTTAAGTTCTAGTGTTTGGCTATTTTTATTATGCTTTTAGTGTTCCTTTCTAAACGAACCATATATAATTGTCAGTTGTCAAATGGAGAATAAATTGTTATTATTACTACCAACTATCATCGTGACGAATAGATTCTATTCATTTATGACAAATTTTTATGAATTCATTGGGCGATTCATCTGGTGATGTTGTCTAGATTGGTGCTGATGAGGCAACAAGTCAGTTGTGTTTTTCCGAAACTTCGAAGTCCTTCATGATGATAGTGTTCCGTGTAAGTAAAATTTTATATCGCAACACTTTCATACATTAGGTTAGGTTAAGTCTCTGCACATGATGATTCTATATCTAATAGGCCTAAGAAGGCCTATTAGATATCGTAGTTCATCCCTACTGTAGTCCAACAACTATTTGGTATCAAGCTTCGAAGGGTGAATAAACGCCTTGGAGTGAGCCAAACCTGGAAGATCCTGCCAGAAGTCCATAAATCTTCTTGTCATACAAGTGTTCAGTCTTTGTTTGGCAAATCCTAAAGCGATGTCAATGACAGGTTCAGGTCCGATGAAGCTGCTTGCAGCACCCTCCTTTGCAAGGGAGTCAGCAGCATCATTGCCTTACGGCGTAACATCCATGTCCACCAGTGAGGATAACAGTGTCCCATGTAAGTGAATGTTTTTACCTTTCATTCAGTATATTGTGTAGAAATCCTGTGCATGGTATCTGATTTTATTTCATAATGAATGTTTGGAAAACAAACTTGGTAGAGAAAAGTATTTTCTGTATAAAGCAGTGTTCATATAAAAGTATTTGTTTCGAAAGAATTTTTCTTTCGTGTAATTCAATATTTACATGAAAGTAGCTGTTACAGGAGGGCTTTTTCTTTCAGGTTGTGTTTGAAAGTTACTTCTTTGCATGATCTACACATCTATGTATAAAGTTACTCGTTTTAAAATAAATTATTTCCTTCCTTTTTTTGGAGGATTCCCACATTTTTTGGATCAAGGTGGAGTAGTAGGAGGCCAAAAACTTTCTTTCCCAAAAATTAGTCACACCAAAAATATAATCCTTTCAATTTGAAGTATTACTAGCTCCTTTAAAGTCTGTAATCATTACTAAGAAACTGACTTATGACACTAACACTGAACTTATTTTTATTAGCAACGTGAGTGGCAAATACCTCTTCTTATTTTACCTAATACAATTTTTGCATCTACTATAAAGATATTTTTCGGACCAATATTATGTCAAAGTTGTTTTAGATCCCCCATTTGAAAAATCAACTATAGTCCCTGAACAAAAAAAAACTTGAGCGTGTATGTTGTACCATTGTTTTACCTTCCGTGTGAAAGCATGATAAAAGGGAGAATATTGTTATGTTTTTCCCATAAGTACCTAAGTCTTTTGATATGTTGAATATTTTTGTTTGGTTGGAACTATTGGATTTTTTTTCTAGCGATATCATAAAGTTAGAATTCCATTGTATCCTTGATTAACAGCAGTTGCATGGCGTGTAATGAATTCACTGAAACCTAATACTCTAATTTGAATATTCTAGAATATTAGACCTACCTTCAGATCCCCAGAAATATTAGCACCTGCCAATATACCTGTAGCCGCAGGAAAAAATATAGCAAAGACACTGAAAAAACCGTGTTCGACACCTTCTGAAAATCTGTAGTCAGGGAAAAAATTGATTCGCGCCAATGTTGCTGAAATAGAATACTTCAATTCGATTATGTTTTTGAAAATTATAATTTGTTACCATTGTATCCCAAAAACCCTTTGGATTTAGCTTCGTCACTTCTTGGTCCTATAAAGCTTCCAATGAAAAAATCGAGAATTGCCACCAGCAGGATAACGAGTAAACCTATTTGCGCCTGAAATTCATTTATTAATTCATTTACAGAATTTGAGAATGGATTTCCAAGTACGATTATGAAGATATAAATAAGATATAGATATACACTTCCAGACAAAAATATCGCATAGTTTGTTTCAAGATTTTTTTTCATGTTAAATTCTTTTTTCTCAACACATTATTTATTTTTATTGATGAATATTCAAAGGCCAAAGTACAAATCTTGAATGGTGTGCCTTTGCCACTATTAATTTTTATTGTTGTTGTTGTTGTCAGAATGTTACTTTAGTCACTGATGGATGTAGACAAGAAGATATTGCGCGGAGATTGCATATCCATATATGCAATATATGGATATGCATATGATGAATATTTGAAAACTCAATATTTGCGAAATCGCACGCTTACAGCTCCGCATCTCGGAAATGATTTACTGAGCATAAGACAAGATAAGTGTCAAAACAGTAATAAGAAGACTCAAAGAAGTTGGTTTAAATCTAAAACGTCCTGCCAGAGTTTCTAGGCTTCCCCACGTCACAAATCTAGACGGTTACAATCTGCCATAACCTATGTCAACTGGAATGAATATGGAAGCCAGATGGACCTGGTCGAGTATACAGAAGATCTGAAGAACTTTGGCAGAATGTAATCTTATACATAACGTTAGCTTTGGTGTTGGTTCCATTATGTTGTGGGGTGGCATTAGTTGGGAGAGTCCCATCGAGCTTATAGAGGTGAATTTAAGAGTGAATGCTGACTGGGACATACGTAACATCCTTGAAGAGCATATTTCACGACAATTTCGTGCACATGCTGCAAGAACAGTCGCCCAGTATCTTGAAGTTGTTAAACTTGAGGCAACGGAGTGGCCACCAAACAGTCCCGACGAGAATCCCATAGAACATCTCCGGGACATCCTAAAAAAGACATATACGAGTACGAAATCCAGCTCCAAACTCAATTGAAGAGTTAAGAATAGCTGCACAGGAAAAATGGAATCGAATTACACAAGACATCATCAAAGACCTTTTACGGAGTATGCCCAGGAGAATGCAGGCCATCGTTAGAGCTAGGAGAGGAAACATTGAGTACTGAAATGTTATTATCTTGCCTCAAAGAACTTTTATTTTGTTGTCATTGTTGCTTGTTCTGATTAAATATTATCATCAAAACTAGTCTATTCTATTACTTCCTCTAATAGTGTCTTATGAAGTTTCAATATATGGATTATTTGGCCATCAATCTACGTTAAATACTTCAGCATATACCAGTTAGTAATGAAAAGTGCGCAAAGATTGAGACAAATAGAAATAAACATGAAATCAATGCTTGAAATAAAATATACAATATTTTGGTCTTTGAGTGTATGAGTAGTTTGAATACAGATCCATTTTTAAAATTTTAAATTTTTTGAAACTATCGCCTAATCTGGACAACCTCAGTTGATATTTTTCAAGAGTGAATGGTTCTCTCTCCCAATTGATATTTTCTAAGTTATATACTCCGTTTACCCCAATGCAGAGGATGTTTTCTGAACATTATAGTGATATTTTATAAAGGTTATAACGTGGATTCCATGTACCACTAGCGAATCTCAACATGCGTATATGTAGGTGAAGTAAACTGCACTTCATGTCGAGAAGGGCAACTGTTGTTGATAAAATCTAACGTTCAATGATGTATTCCCAATGACAATCAAAGATTAGCTCTTTGTCACATATCACTCCTGGGTATTGAAATTGATTTCTTCGATAAATTACAGTTGACATCAAACAATTATTGATTGTTTGAAGAAGTTATCAATAAGAATTTTTCCAAGTTCGAGGATATTCCATTATGTTGAAAATATTCAGAGAACTGAGAAAAGTTTTGATAATCTTGAGTGGTTTCTAAAAAATATTTTTAAATCATCTGTATATAAGTTAAGATAAATTCGACAATCTGAAACACATCTTAATATTGCTGTTGGAGATAAGGAACAACAAAGGGTATAAGTAGGATCCTTGTGGAATCTCTGTGACGGTGAAAAAAAAAAAAAGAAAATGGGAAAAAATGTTTTCATTGGATGGAAAACAATGTTGAATTCTTTGGTTGATATTTTTCGAATTCTCCACACAAATACGTTAGAAAACCGAAGCTAACCATAAAAAAGTATATACAGTATTTCACAGTAAGTTTGAATCATATAGAAAACTCCGTATTATCAATTTCAGTAAAAACATATAGTTCTCATATGATCTGCAAAACTAAAACCCTAAATGTATTATCAGTTATCGAATTCTTCCAATCGTACAGGAGATTTCACAAAAAATCAACAGTAAATAGGTTAATTTGTTTTTAATTTTTGAAATATCCCTCTATAATAACAGCAAAAATTCAAATTTAATTGTAAAACAAAATGTATTAGAGAAAGAAAAAAATGTCATGCTTAATTAATCTCAAAAGATCAGTTTTCATTATTGAAATTAACAAAATTAAAATATAAAGTAGAAGTATCGATAAATATAAGCTGTTGTGTGTCGATGGATAAAAGCCAGCCTAGAATGAAGGATAATATACACCACTCTAGGAGAGGCTAGCATACAGGGAAGAGCAGAGAATGGGATGCCTCCAAGGAGGCGTATTATCGCTGTGCTATGGGTAACTCTAGTAGACGATCCCCTCAGAAAGCTATCTGAAGAAGGCATACATTGCCTGGGATATGCTGACGATCTGGTGATAGTTACAAAAGGAAATTTGCAGGCGTCCTCTCGGAGCGTGTGCAAACAGCCCTGAACATCGTCGGCAGATAGTGCTATCATGAGAACCTCCCAGTGAATGCACAAAAAACGACGAATGTGTTCACTAGAAAATAGCGATAGAGGACGAAAACAATCAATACTCAATGAAGTGGAGATCTATTTTGCCACAGAAGTCAAATACTTAGGTGTGACTTTCGATCACAGGCCCACGTGGAACCTCCACACCCAAAAAACAGCACATAAGGCATGGGTGGCCCTGGGAATCTGCAGAAGAATGTGCGGGAAAAACTGGGGGCTGAACCCAAAAATAACACTCTGGTTATATACAAGAGTAGTGAGACCCACGATAACATACGGTGTAGTGACTTGGTGGACAAGAACAAGGCAATCGGACACGGCTAAGCTATTAGGCGGCATACAAAGGCTGGCGTGCCTAAGTGTCGCGGGAGACGTGAGAACGACCCCAACTGCAGCACTTGAGGTCCTTCTCGGACTTCCATCATTGCACATCTACATACAAAGAGAAGCTCGTCTGGTGACACACAGGCTAATGCAGGGGCAAACCCCAATCAGCCAGTCACACGGTGCAGAATACCTGTACAATAAACCGAAGGCAGATCCAATACTAGGAATCCCCGTGGATAACACAGTTCCGCAGTACAAAAAGATTTCAAAATCATCATACCAAGTAGAGAGGACTCGCCCACCGGTAAAAGCGAAAGAAACTTGGTATACAAATGGCTCGAACACCCAAGAAGAAGTGGTAGCTGGTATATACGGAGGCAGAGCAAAGACGAGAATCACACGCAGCCTCGGACATACTGCAACTGTGTTCCAGGCAGAAGTAGCGGCCATCGAACACTGTTTCGGAGAAATAATCAGGCAGAAGGTCACAAATAAAACCATTGCCATTATCTCTGACAGCCAGGTGGCAATTAAGGCGCTCAGCTCATCTCAAGTCTTCTCAAGACTGGTGGGAAGCTGTCTCAGCGCACTCAAGGAGCTTGGAACCCAAAATAGGGTCACTCTAGCTTGGGTGCCCGGACATGAGGGTCACAAGGGCAAAAAGAAGGCAGTTGAAGCCCGTGAAGGCGCATCCCAGGCTATGACCGACCCAGTACCCTTCTGCGGGGTAGTNTTCCAGAATGTAGAAATCTTGTTGGAAATTCTTTCTCGCCTCCTTATTTCATATTAACCGAAGGCAAAAAATTTTTACCTTCTGAATTTGTTGTTTGAACTGGTTGGTTAAATTTGGTCCATAAACGGAATTCGCATAATTGAAATTAGATAAAACCAAGGTCTCGCAAAGTAATGATTTTAACTTAATAGAAAGACAATAACGTACACCATATATAACTCAAATTGAAATCCAATAATACTTCCAGAACCTAGAACCACTCGAAATTGAGGCTGTAGAGCCAAAGAACAATATTTGACAATCCTAGTTTTTGGCGAATATTTCAAAAACACCCACTGATATCCTCGATCTGTAAAGAGATTATTGTAGTTTCCCAAAGAATGCATTGTTTTCCAATTTAACCGACTTTATAGGTCTAACAGAAATAGCAATAATGAGATCAGCTAAAAAACAGCCTGATAGCACTTCTGTGCTTATATATGGGATCGCATATAGATATATCACTGACACTCATGAGGCACTCTTAATAACAGCAAATAGTGCTGGTATCCCTTAGTATCATATATAAAAATCAAGAATTTAACTGAAAGTGTTATTGTTGTTAACTTCAAAGGGTCTGACAGAAATTAGCACCGACGGGAAATGTATATCAGTCTTAGGTTAGGTTGGGTTAAGTCCAAAGTGGGTTGGTCTATTCGACCTTCCACCGCAAACCGCAAGGGTTTATTGTGGCTCACACCTATTCACACTCGACCAAATAAACCAAGCTTCTTAACCGATAAGTTTGTATGGTGGTCTCTCAGGTCAGATGATAGAGTACGGCTATGCCGAACTCTAAAAACCTGATTTGGTCCCCAGTCGGGCAGGCGACACACACTGTCTTCCGACAGTTCGAGTCTCTGCATATGATGATTCAAATGACAGTGACCTGTAAGACATCGTAGTTCATTCCTACTGTAGTCCAAGAACTGTTTGGTATCAAGCTTCGAAGTGTGAATAAACACCTTGGAGTGAGCCACTCCTGGAAGATTCTGACAAGAGTCCATACATCTTCTTGCCATCCAGGTGTTCAATCTTTGTTTGGCAAATTCTAAAGCGATGCCAATGACAGGTTCTGATCTGATGAAGCTGCTTCCAGCACCCTTCTTTGCCTTCCAGACCTGTATGGCAGGAATCCAGACCAGAGACAATCTGTTAAGTTTTTCTATCGAGGAGAGTCTTTTATGGTTATTTGCTACCAATTTAGCCGTTGCTTGGTAGGAGCCAAGATCTTCCACCACCGCGTGACTTTCCAAAAATATTTTTATTGACTTGTGTATGAGGTTTGATTCTTCCAATCTCTCCGCACATAATTCAATAGCGTAAATTTCCATTTGAAATACAGTCGCAGTTCCTAGGCAGGCTGATATCACTATACTGGTTCTGCGACTGAGAACCAGTACTGCCTTATAAAGTACTGAGAAACAGTACTTTATAAGGCAGTTCTTAGCTGACAATGGGGAAGCAAACTGTCAATTTGTTGTACATAGAGGGCGCTAAGTGTTTGTCATTAAAAGATACATTGGTTATATGGGAACATTTGTGATTTTTCGTTTTTATTCAGAGAAATGGGTCGTTGTGCTTCTTTCGGGTGCAAAGAAATGGGAGGTTAAAAGTTTCTTGAAGATACTGTTATGAGAAGAAAATGGGAAAAATCTTTTGAGGATAGTAAAGTTCAAATGTACTGATCATTCTAGGTTATGTGGTGAACATTTCAAAGATTCTGATTTTGAGACTACTTCAAAGATAACTGGTAAGTAGCATTCATTCTACTTACTTATATGTGATAATAATTTTAAAAAATTTTATAGGATTTTCACTCCAAAGAAAATTTTTTGAAAAATCAGCTGTACCTTCCATATTTCGCTGTACTTAGAATTATGCCAGTCCACGGATGTTGAGATTAAGAAAAAGGATTGCTATACATGATTTGAAGCCAGCTAGTAGTTCGAAGATAAAGATAACCAGCTTCCTCTCAATGGTAAGTATCCAATAAATAAATTTATTATATAAACTGCTCAACCACCACTATATTCCATATGATTTTCAGATATAAATTATCTAGACCTCCAACAAGAAATTACCTCAGAAGTTACTTTCCACCCCGAGGAAGATAATCCTGATAAGGAAAGCCACCTAATCAGCCAGTCCACACACACACCAACTTTATTCAGATTATTTTCCAATGATGAATTTCTAATGAACAAAAAATCTGTTTTTTATTATACAGGTCTCTCTTGAGGGATATTCTAGAAATTAAAATGTCTATCATAAGCCTCTAATCTGAAAACAAAATTGAACCTTACAACTTGCATGTTTTTGAGGTTAGAATAATGTTCATTGATTATTAGAGAAAAAAACAAAAAATATGTGGTTTTTTTTCATTAATATATTTCTTGGGAGCAAATTGAATGCAAAAAACTATCTTTATAATGAGAGAGTTGTTCAAATATGCAAAATTATGAGCCTTTCCACTAGATCAGCTTTCTTCCCTCCTAGGGTTGAACCTCTCCTCTGCAACTCCTCCTTCAACTGAGCGATACGCCATGTAGAATACATCTTGAATTGCAAGCAATTTAAATAAGTAACTTTCAAATAAATCAATAAATAACGGTGGAAACTTTGACAGCTAATGACCAATGTGACAAACACTCAGCGCACTCTGCCGGATGAGTTTCCGTAATTATCCCCATTGGAGACATAAAGTCAAACGTTATTTACAGAATGCTGTGACTTCCAGTGTCAACCAACAGTATGTTGCACTCTTCATTAAATTGATTTGTGCAATTGGTAACGTGCTCAAGTCTATATGCAGTCCATCTAGCCTCTCTCTCCAGAAAAATGTAGAGAGGAGGTAGATCTAGAAGGATCTCCATGGCTGCTGGCGATCTGGTACTGATGGCACCATTAACCTGTCTCTGTAAGACAGAGAGCTTCACATGGGCCGTTTTCTGTAAAGCCTAGGCCACTAGACAAACCTCAAGTTTTATCACAAATCCTTCGTTTGTGTTGGTCCATTTTGGATTTTTGACAATATTCTATGGAACATAAAATATACAAAAATCAGCACTTGAATTTTTAAGAAAACTGAGCAATATTTGTTCTACCATTTGCATCCGGTATCTATAAATTGGCCTTCTGCCGAAGCTAGCAGCTAGGCAAACGTTAATGGCACACCTACATCCTACCTACAGTACATTGAATGAGCTATGGTTGCATTCTTTCACTTGCTTGCATTTATGTCTCATTTTGTGTACCGTACTACTCAGTCAGTAAATTCTGTCTGTGTTGGGATATTCCTCTGAAAAAGGTACCACAACTAAACCCACCAAAGCTTTTCAACGCCTCGAACATGATGAAAAGTAAAAATGATTCATGCTAGGATTCATGTTAGGAATCACACGGTAAAAGGTAAGACCTCGTTATTCCTTAGCTCGCACAAGCTTCGATTTCTGAGGGTTATCGTTCGTAGGGGTGCGACAGCTGGTTAACAGAAAAACAGATTTTAAACACATTTGTTTCGTGCTGGGTATCGCGCATTAGAACGTAAGTTAATTTTCAGTTTGCACAAGTATCGACTTTCAAGGGTCAATGTCCCGAAGTGGACGTTGGTGAGTTTTGGGTTAGTTTTTTCAAATACATTATACACAGTACCATTATAATATATTTATTCTGTACTCACCTCCTTTTATTACCCCATTTGTGCTTATGGCGGACATGGATAAAGCAGTTATAGATGTCACAGCAGTTGTAGTCAGTATCAATAAAATAGACTGTCCTATCAAATATGAAAAATTGGTTTTATATGGATTGTGAGAATACGGTGTAACTGTACATTATTATTCAGACCATCAATTTTTCCCTGAAGATCATATTTTCCTAAAAACAAACCTAAGGGATGAAATACAATTTGAAGCCATTTCTATTGTATATTCGCTATCAATTGTGTGTTTGAGTTTACTTTCTGGTCCTAATAATACAGGCTGAAGTGATGTTCATAAAAAACTCTTTGGCTCCTTCCTAACGAAAGGGTTGAAAGTTAAAGTACTAATTTTTTAAAATATATCAGAAACTAATTTCGAAATTGCTATATATTTCAGATTCATTGAACAATTTTATATAATATGTAGAGATTTATTATTTCTTTCAACGACAGCTTTAGTTCTCAAGTATTAGGTAACTCATTGTATTATATTATTCTTATATGATCGAGTGATCATTGGCTTTTTAAAAATTGGTTGAATACCGAATTGAATGATCATATTCAACACTATCAATTCGGAAGGTGAGAACTGAAAATGAATATTTTTAACCGAGCAAATGGATTTGCAAAGATTTCGTGTGTACAATGAAATTATGTCTTAAACTTCATTGTATTCTCAGTTATTCAATTTATTTCAGTATAGGAAAAACATTTGTTTGAAGGTAATTAACAATGTTTCATGATAAATTTCACTAGTTCGGACTTCCATTGTCTACTATATAAAATGATTTGAAATCCCTGAAACAACTAAAAAAGAAGAATTAAAAATGAATAGCTGAAAATAACAATTATATTAAGCAAAATAAATCTGAAATTAAATAATAGTGAAATAAACTACAAGTGAAA